TATATATATATATATATATATATATATATATATATATATATATATATATATATATATATATATATATATATATATATATATATATATATATATATATATATATATATATATATATATATATATATATATATACTCATTCAATTAGCAATGATAACACAATATCTTCCCAAGCATGTGTGCAATAACTATCCAGCATGTCCTCGATTTTCTTGTTAATAAGTTCGTTGTATTTTCATTTTTCTCAGTTTTGCATACACACATTTGAGATTGAAATTCTCAAAAAAAAAAAAAAAAAAAAAACAATTAAAAAAATATAAAGATCAAGAGAATGAATTTCGCACCACAAAACATTTCCGGTGAGTGTCATCATCATGGAGCACGTTATTGCGTCTTTACAGTACCGAAAAGCTTGAAAGAATCAAAACCGGACGCTTATGCCCCTCAGCACCTCGGCCTGGGCCCGTACCACCACCCGCCCCACCCCTATATCCCTAAACAGTTCCCGCTAAAACTCGCGGTCGTCGAGAAATATATTGCCCGCCCGCAAGAGTTGACCAAAATTCGGAAGATGGTTGAGGCTGCTCTAGTTCGTTCGGATCGTCTTATCCGATCGTGCTACGATAAGTATCTTGATCGTGATATCAAATTCCTAGCCTGGATATTAGCAATTGATGGCCTTTTTTTGCTCCATTTCTTGATTAATTATTCCCCTAATCAAGACCCTGAAATGGAAACCCTAGCACCTGATATTTTGATGCTGGAGAACCAAATCCCCGTCGTTTTGCTTCGCGTAATTCAAGACACTCTTGAATCGGAATCGTGTGTTCCGGACGACAAATATTTGTTGTTCGATAAGTTCCAGGTTTTCTGTCAAAACCATTCGCCTCTGAAACTGAGCAACAATCCAATGATAGTAAGAAACGTGGACAAGGTCCACCTGCTAGACCACATGTATTATTCGATTCTTAACAACGTTACTACACTCGGCGCAATCTCTACGCAAAAGAATATTCCTGTTCTTCCCGTTTTACTGATGAGTGAAACCGGGAGGGTAAAATTCACGCTTGCGAGTGGAGGAATCAGGGCGGTCAAATTTGATAAGGAGAAGAAGAAATTTTATCTACCGGTTATTAGAGTGAATGCTGCATCGCACGTGATACTGAGGAATCTGTTGGCATATGAAGCAGCATTGGCCAAACCGGGATCGACCATACTCGAGCTCGCACAGTATGTCGATTTAATGTGTCGACTCGTTGAAAATCCCGAGGATGTGGCTATTCTGAGGAAGGCGGAAATTATAGTTAGTGAACTGCGTGATGAAGAAGTTGCCAATTTCTTCAATGGGCTTAAGAGAGACAAGAAAAAAGATTTGTGTGCTTCGTTCAAAAAAATTAAAAGTTAGGGGTTTTTGTGTATAAGTCCCCAATCAAGCATCATTATTATTCTAGGTTTATGGGCTATATCTCTTTCATCAATAAGCCCACCCCCTTAATATTTACTAGCATTTTCTTCCCGTGCGATGCACGGAATCGGATTTTAAAACTGAAAAAATTGATCAATTTAACAAATATAATTTTTATCTTTATTTCTTAAGATTTGAGATGTACATATATTGATGAAAAATAGGAGATTGAATCCGGAACGATTATTCACGGTTCAATGTCAATTTTGATAATTGTTGAAAATATAATTAGAAAATTAGTACAAAAAATATGAAAAAATAAATAATTACAAAAATGCCATTAGGGTTTCTTAGGGTTACGTTTCTTTCTTTTATATATAAGATTATAAATAAAGGAAACATTCATGTATATGACAATATTACCCCCAACCCTTTATACCCAATTCTTAATTGTAACCCAATTTAATAAATTTTGTCCATAAAAATCCAATTTTGGCTCTTTTTTTTTCAAAAAAATTTTTACCGCCGGATTCCGGCGTTGATCGGCGGTCAACGCCGGCCTCCGGCGTTGACTTTTCGATCTTTTTTTTTTCTTTTTTTTTCAATTTTTTTTTATTTTTATTTTACGTCCGCCGCTAAACATTGACCGTAATTGTGCTGTCACTGACAGTAAATTAACGTAATTATACTGTCAATGACACTTAATTAACGTAATTGTACTGCTGTTGACAATTCATTTATGTAATTGTTCTGCCGTTGATAGTAGATTAACGTAATATTATTATTTTTTATTTTTTGTTATTTATTTTTATTTTGTTTGATTTGTTGAGAAGTCAACGTAATTATATTACTGTCGTTGACAGTAAAATAACTGTAAACACAATAATATTGCTGTCAACAACATCAATATTATTATCTTTTTTGGGTATTTTGTTTTGTTTGAGTTATTTACGGAGTAACGTAATAATATTACTGTCTATTATTGTAATATTACAGTAAACACAATAATATTACTGTGGTTGACGATAATATTACTGTTGTTATAGTAATATTGATGTCAACCACATCAATATTATTATTTTGTTTGGATTTTTTTGTTTGTTTGAGTTATTCACGGAGTAACGTAATAATATTACTGTCTATTATTGTAATATTACCGTGGTTGATGGTAATATTACTGTTGTTATAGTAATATTACTTTCACTCACAACAATATTAATTCTTTTGGCTATTTATTATGTTTACATTTGTTGAACGGTCAACATAGTAATATTACTTTATTACACAATAATAATGAGTTTTGTTCTGTTAATATTACTGTGCTAGAGATTAATATAGCAATATTACTGTGTTAAACTATAGTATAGTTAATTTTACTGTGTTTAACAGTAATATAGTTAATATAACTGTCAATCACATCAATTTTTCTGTTTAAACGAAGAAAAAAAATGTTATAGAAAAAAGAAAAAAAAAGAAAATTCGAAAAAGTCACCGCCGGAAACCGGTGGCGGTAAATTAGAGAAAAAAAAAGTCGTTGGAAACCGGCGAAAAAATCCGGAAGAAAAAAAAAAGAATGAAAAAAAAAAGAAAGAAAAAAAAATATCGAAATGTCAACGCCGGAATCCGGCTGCAAAAAAAGAAATTGTGGAAAAAAAAAGTTTTGGGTCAAAATTGAATAATTTGTGAAATTTGGGGTCAAATTGATGTTAAATTAATGTACTGTTAACGTAATTATACTGTCGTTGACAGTACATTAAAGTAATTGTACTTCGTTGACAGTAGATTTATGTAATTGTACTGTCGTTGACAGTACAATTAGAGTCAACGACAATATTATTATTTTTTTGGTTTTTTTGTTTGATTTGTTGATAAGTTAACGTAATTATATTACAGTCGTTGACAGTAAAATAACTGTAAACACAATAATGTTACTGTCAACCACATATTATTATTATCTTTTTGGGTTTTTCTTTTTTGTTTTGTTTGAGTTGTTGACGGAGTAATGTAATAATATTAATTTCTATTATTGTAATATTACTATAAACACAATAATATTACCGTGGTTGACGGTAATATTAATATTGTTACAATAATATTACTGTCAACCACATCAATATTAATTCTTTTGGCTTTTTATTATGCTTACATTTGTTGAATGATCAATATATTAGTATTACTATATTACACAATAATAGTGACTTTTACTGTGTTAATATTACCGTGCTAGAAATTAATATAACAATATTACTGTGTTAAACTGTAGTATAGTTAATATTACTGTGAACCACAATAATATTGCTGTTTACACGGGGTAAAAATATGTTAAAGAAAAAAAAATCAAAAAAAATCAAAAAAGTCAACGTCGGAGACCGGCAGAAAAAAGTCAGGAAAAAAAAAAAAAAAATTACGCCGGAGACCAGCGGTCAACGGCGGGGACGGACGAAATTGTACTCAAAATTGTGTTTTGGGTCAAAATTGAATAATTTGTGAAATTTGAGGTTAAATTAAATTAAATAATGAAATTGGAGCATATTAAAATTTGATGGGCTATTTTAGTCTTTTACAAACCTCTGGACAATGGGTGAACTTTTTTGTAAAAGAGTTTTTTGTCTGGACCCTTTTATGAATAAGTATCCATTGATGAAATTATTTGTAAAGTGCTCTTATTTGTAAACTGAAATCAATTTAAGTATTTGGCTTATCTTGCCTTCTAGTGTGTGTTTTTTTTTTTAAGTTGCGAGCTCCAATAAAATAATTAGGTTTTATTAAATTATTTAATCTTATCTTGCCAACCAAACTGGGTCTAGATGTCTGATAGAATTCCCTAAACAATATGTTAATGGACTTTCAACTTCTACTAAGCCATCCTCTGAATGTGCTTGAACTAGATAACTAAATGGTTTGTTGAAGATGGTTTGATTTAATTATATTCAAATTAGATTCATAGTTTTTATTGTGATTGCGTTATTTGGATTTCAATGATTACGTTATTGTTCTCTTTCTTGATTCCAAGGCAAGAGTAGAGATTGACTCCAATGATGCTCGGAAAATCGGGTTTGCCGTTTTAACCAATTTCAAAAACTTTTGTCAGGTTTTCGAGCTGAAACTACAAGGAGTTGATTAATTACTTCACCACTTATATATTCAACTTCTAGAAGAAAAATGCCATAACAAGGGGGCTTCTTTTCGCAGTATGTGGTGTCTCAGTCGAGTTAGTGATGAGAGAGCGCTTCTCACTTTAGAACTCTTGGTTTCGAGAGTGAAAAACAGATGATTTAAGGAAATGATTCTCAAGGATCGCGTATGATGTTGTGATTTAGATTCTACACAGATTACGGAAAAATAGTAGCGCACGTACAAGGATAATTGTGGCGATTGAGGGATCCAACAGGCTACAAACACAACTATACTATGAAAGAAAGTTTGTATAGTTATTAAACGCTATTCATGTACAAAATGGAGGAAGATAATGGAACCCGAAAAGAAAAGGACAAAAAATGTTCCATTTTGTTTACTCTTATGTATGAGGTCAACAACATTACGCGTAATAAGGTCAACTGTAGGAGTGAAATTGTGGATTTTTTGTTTAAAAAGAGTTTATGGAGTAAACAAAATGGAGAAAGTTTTCACTTTCAACCATAATATTCTTCAAATCCGAAAACGCATGTTCTTGATGATTAATGATACAAATTTCTGACAAAATAATTGTTAAAAGCTAATACGAAAATAATTTGAAAGAATAAGATGGGTGAGTCTTATGGTTTTTTTTCTTATAAATAAAATGTTATTACGTTTATTAAAAGTTTTCCTGTATTTATCGACTCGCCTCTATAAGACCATTTGTATGCTCATGGTATTGAATAATTGCTTAAAGCATAATTTTGATAATTTTGAGTATTTCCTTACATTCATTCTAATTACTAAGCTATCAAGGAATGATAGCTTCATTTTCTTTTTTTGATTTCATTAATGCATTAGCAATGTGCTTATAAACGTGAAGAAAAATAAATAATTCATAATATTTATTTAAATAAATGATCAAGATAAATCAATGGTATTAATTTCATTATTCTTCATGCATGTACTAAATATGGCAGTATTAGTTTCATAAGTGTGTAGAAAACAGCCATTCTTTTTTAAATGAATTTTAACAAAGTCCAAAGTAGTTTTTTTTAAAGAAATAGTTTAACTTGTATTAGTTTTTAAAGGAGACATTTTCGTACAAATTGAGCGTGTGTATAGCAGAGAAAATATGGATCACGGGGGTTCTATTTAAGTTAACTACTAAACTCTTCACCACGATGCTCCAGTAGACCAAAGGATTCGTGCTAAGGGAGTCAATATGTGTATGTTGTAATCAACCAAAGGAAGAATCGATGTAACATCTGTTTTTACACTCGGCAATTGCTACATCGGTTTGGACGTATTATGGAAATATTTTCAGAAAACCTACATCATACACTTCTATTCACCCGGTGATCGTTATTTGGTTGTGTAAGATCTTAATAAAGTTTTAATTTGATGCTTGCCGTCTGGGTGTCACAATGTACATATTCTGGGAAATAAGGATGGCCAGGCGTCGAGCTGGTTTTTTATGATGAACCCATGTTGAGTGTGGGAATCAAAGTGCAATCTATGGTTGTGAAGAGGTGAGTTTGCATTCGTTGGGAGCCGCCAACGTATGAAGTCGACAAGTTAAATACAGATGGATCATCCAAGAATGGCCTAAGTGATGGTACGGGAATTCTTCGCGATTCAATAGGTTAAATGATCATTGCTTTTTCTGTGTTCTACTGTTCCGTGGTCAAGGAACGAATAACTATGTTGTGTTTAAAGCAATTAGAGACGAAAAATAATGAAAGACTGACTTATATGTGCAATTTAAAAAAAAAAATGAAACAATTAGATAAATAAGTAATTTAAACAATATATCAACTATGAATGGACAACTGAGAAATCAAAGTTAAATAGTAGATGAATTGGAAGGAAAAAAAACCTAC